ATAACCTTATCGATTTAATATAATTTAATTTTTATATACTAGGCATAATAATACTTTATACGCTCTAGAGGGGTATTATTTTTAATATTGAACGGTAGGACGTACGAACGGGACGATACTAATTAGCCGCTACTAATAATTATAATCAATATATTAGAGTCGTTCGGGGGGCCGAAATTACTAGGGACAGGGATTTAGGCCGGGTTATAAATAAAATTAATAGTATTGATTTATTTTAATCGATTACAGAGATTATTAATAATTTTAATATATTTTTCGCATTATCTTTGGAAAGCGAGGTTAATATTCATTTTAAAGTCGGCAAATAATTACTTTAACGCAGCGATTTCTTTATATAGCTTATTAATTTTAAATTTATATTAGAGGGCCGTAGTAGCTAAATTACTATTAAATTTAGCGATTTTCCTCTAGGATTCTTCTAAGTCTTCTTCCGTTCTTTAAGCGCAATCGCGGGCCTCAATGATATTATTATAAATTAAACAATTTAGGGCGATAATCACGTTACAGAAGATAGGAATAATTACGAAGGCGAAAGCGTACTTTATAATTACAATCGAAGGAAGGTTAATAAAGGGATTATTATTAACATTTGTGAATACCTTTACGAAGTTATTATAAATTATTTAATTTACAAGGTTAGAAATTTAGAGAGTTCCGATTACGGTAACTACAATAAAATTATTTATAATAATTAGAACGCCCGATATTAATCGTTAGATTAATTATAATAGCGGTAATCTCTTAAGGTTACTATTTTAGAAATAGGAAGGGAGAAAAAATTTAATATTTAATTAATTAATCAATTCTTAGCTCGGACTTAGGGATATTAGGGTCGAATTTTATACTTATCTCGTTAATAAGGGCCTAAATTTTAAGAGGGTCGCAATATAAAATCTACGATTATTTAAAAGTTTGATTAATTAATTTCTCCTTTAAGCACACGTAATATAATAGTTAGGTATAATAAATTATTACGAGGCGAGATACTATTGGAGGTAGGGTAAAATATATATTATTATACAGAGGAGAGGAAAGGGAAGTATGCGTAGAGGACTGGCTATATAGGCGAGAGCCCTGGCAGGCCAGTCCGTACACGCGTACACGTGCAGCTGCACGTGACTACTATACTCTGGGCATAGTATATGAAGCAGTCAGTATAGTGCGAGAATGTTACAGGCTAGCCCTGTGATATACCTAATGTAATGCTTAAACTACCCTAAAATGTGAAATTTCTAATATTTTTAAATTATATACTAAATTGAGCATTTCTGTCATTTGGATCTCGAAATTACATTGCCAACCTTCTCTCCAAATTAATTATAATACTACTAAATCGCTTACAATCCTTCTCGATTACTATTAATCCCCCTCCCCCCTATCTTGCTAATTAATATCAACTTCTATTAACGCTATTAGTACCGTACCGTTATAATACCTGTCGTTTAAAACCCTATACCCGCCGTCCCTAATTGCGATAAAGCCTCTTCGACCGTAGGCAACCCGCCTACCGTTCCCCTTAAAGATTCGCCCACGTTCGTTACCGCTATTATTGTATTAAATAGTAAGATACGTATCCCTATATTATATTAGCTCTGGCTACTATAAGAAATTTATACCGACGATTTGCCTATTGACGTTGGTAAGTGGCTAAGGGTTAAAATTAAAGGCGACGAATTTATATCAGAGAAATAGTTGGATTGCTGTATAAAGAGGAGTTTTTAGTTCTTTTAATATAGTACTTTCCTTATTAAAATAAAGGGGAACTCGGAGAGGGATAGCTATTAATATTATAAATTCTACTATAATATTTATATATTCTTCGTTACTAATTTTACAATTTAATACTTTCGGCGCGCTTATTGTTTTACGGAGCTAATTAGCGAAGAGATTGCGGAGGAATAGGTACGTAAGCAGCCTAAATTAATTGCTAAATTCCTTTGAAAGTAGCTTTATACTTTTATTTTTAAACCAATTAGCGAAACCTTCCGCAAAATATTAATAGAAATAATTATTAGTATAAGGCTCCCCTTCTCTTTCGTTAAAAACCCCGTTTTTAAAACCTTTTTTAAACTATTGAATAATAATATAGTAAACTACTTACTCCCTTAATCTCGTTATATTCTAACTATATAGGTAGGTAATAAATATATATTTTATTTTAATAAATTGAAAGAGTATTTAGTAAATGCCTGCTTTTAGAAGTATTTTTCCTTCGATTTCTAAATTTCCCCTAATAGGTTAGCTATCCTCTCGATCTTTATTTATTATATTAATTATTAGTGTATATATAGGAATAATTTCATAGGTTTTTATGAGGTACGGGGTAATTATAATGGCGAAAATATCGCGGTTATAATATTATAAATTATTAAAAAGTTTGAAATTTATCCTAATGATATTAATTATTTTTAGAATAATAATATTGAAGTTAATAATCGTTACGTTTATTATATTATTAGAAGTTTCTACCCTAAATTTAGCGAAGAAGAGGTTGAACCCGAGGTATTTTATCGTTGCCTCCGCTACTTTAATTATATTTTAAATTTCGGCGTAAAGGCTATTATTAAAGGGAAAGGACCCCTAACCTCCGTTATTAACGATCTTTAACCCCGCCTTAATTTTATTAATAAAAATACTTTACTTCAAAAATAGTATAAGGAAGGCCCGGTTAATCGATTATATAACGTCGTTTAATTTATTCGAAAAAGCCCCCCAATATCGCGTAAAGTTTTAAGAAATTATATAATTTAATTATAATAATTAATTTAATAATAACGTTTAATTTTAGCTTAGTACTATCATTAAAGAGGATATTTTCTCTCTTAATATTAATATTATTTTTAATAATATAATACGTTAGAATTCTAACTATTATATAATCCGTTACGCTTTGAAGTTACATAAATTCATTAATTATTATATTAGCGAAATTATTAATTACTTAGAGCTATCTAAGCGATTCCCTAAGGAGGATTAGTTTAGTAATAACGATTAGGCTATCTTTATTACTATTATAGAAGTAATAAAACTATTCGAAGATTTTATTAAATAATTTGGGAAGCGAGGGCTCCTCTTTCTAATAATTATCCTTAGCTTCTACTACTTTATTAAAAAGTTTATTAAAATACGGGTATAATTTAGAAGTAATATTGCTTTCGAACCGTTTAAGGGTTTAGAAATCTTAAAGTCAAATATTATTATAATTACTTCTATTTAACAAAGTATTTGTATATATACTTTTCGTATTAATTAGCCTTCTTAAGCCTCGTTTTAAATTATATCCTCTTAAGCTACCCTATCTATTTAAAAAAAAGTTTGGCGATACTCCCCCTATTAATTATATTAATAATATAATTAATCAGGGTATAAAAGCTGTTACTTTAATTATTAATAAGGTTTTTATTAAGTTTAAAGAATATAAAGGGTTGATAGAGAAGTGCCTAATATATTAGATTATATATATTGTGTACCCTAGTTACTGCGATTAAAAGATTAATAAGAGGTTCGGTCCTATTGAGTAGGATAATACCTTTATAAAATTTTAATTTATTTATAATATTAATTATATTAATTAATTAGTACTTCTCCTTCTACCTAATATTAATAATTAATAAGCGAAGCGAATTAATAACGAGTAGTTTATTAATAAGGATTTTTATAATACCCTCATATTTGAGCTAAAGAAGGAGGATGAATTCAATTATTATTTTAATGATAATATTTACACAATTAATAACGCTCTAGGGTAGTGGAAGGTTAATAAGAGTTTTTACCCTCGTTTATTTCGTATATCATTTAATTTCTTTTCCTTACCCTCTATAATAAATAATTGTAAGTACTCCTTTAGCGGCGCTAAATTGACTATTAATAGCTAGAGATAGAGATTTATTGCCGAGAATATTAATATTATCGAGAGTTTCAAGTTTTAGCTGGTATTTAGGGTATTAGATTATAATTAATAGGGTCTAGGCGATGGATACGACGTTGTGATTGTCTTGGGGAAGGGATTTATAGTTATAAGGAGGTTTTGGGGGTTTAGTAAGCTAGAAATCGTAAGAATTAGAGCACTTTTGAGACTAAAAATACCAAAAACGTGATTTTATTTATAAATATTTGTAAGCAACTCAATTCAACTCAAATCACTACCCTGATTTGACCCACTCAAATAAATCCAGACCTAGATTTGAGTTGAGTTGAGTTATCTCCAACGCTGAACCGGTTGCCCGTCAGGAACGGATCCGTCTGCGTCGATGGATATCTCGAGCGTCTTGAGCGAGCGCAGGTCCAGGAGCCAATCCAAACTTCTTGACAGTCTTGCCTCCTTCCTTCCATGCGCACGTTTTCGCGGCGAGTGTTCCATTGTAGCTTGATGTTTTGGGCGGTGTCGATCCGGGGACCCTTTCAAGGCCCCTTTGGGAGGGAACGATTCGAACGATTGGGTACCTTACCTACTGGCATCCAAGTCTTCAATCTCCTTATAATACCGCTTCCGCCTTGCGTTGTCCCGCCCACCTTGCGTTCCAGGTTGTCAACCGGTTCGGTTATTGCTGCATGGCTACATAGCCCGTCAAAAGGTAGGGCCTCACGGGGCCACGGGCAATTATCCGGAAGCTGTAGATCTTCGGAAGCTAAAGACATATAGTAAGCCCATAGGGCACCGCTAACCATCGTTTCGATAGTTACACTAGGCAGTCTTAAAAACTGCCCGTACTATAAGGTAGGTATTGGGAGGAGGGATTGGCGAGGTACAGAGTAGGGCTTTGTGAGTAATCGTATACTCCGGCGATCGCTTGCAGCGCGGAGAAACTGGTCTGCCAAGCCTTGTTGATGGTGTTCCGATGCCTCTTCCGTGCAAGATCTTTGTTATATCTCTCCGGGTCCGCCCTTAGTTTGGCGTATTGTTCCTGCCTCCTGTACCTAGGTAGGTAGAGGTACCTGGGCGACATTTGATCGCTCAAGTCCTCGCGGACTTATAAGTATCATTCTGTCACGGTGGTATGGGTACACTGGCAACTGATGAAAGAACACAATGCAGACCCATCGAAACAGCTGATGAAAGCTTTGCCTCTCATGCGAGCAATGATCGAGTCTTGAGTCGGTAACGGGTACGAATCGCAGGCGGGAGCCGAGCCAGGGGCAAAGGAAGAGGCAGGACCGGGGCCAAACACAGAAGAAGAAGTCGATGAAGAGGTTGAAGCCGAGGCAGAGCCAAACGAAGGCGGTGTTGGTTGAGATGGCGCGGGGAGGGGGGAGCGGAGGCCAAGGTCTATGAGGTCGTTCTCGCTCATATCCCGAGGGTCACCAACTTCCAAACGCCAGGAGCGCCAAGACACAGAAAAAAGGCCGACGGCATGGTGGAACTCTCTGAGATGGAGCAGAAAGTCGGGGGAGCCAACCACACAGGGCAACAGGAACATCGTGTCCTACACTCTGTTCGAGAGCTGCGCAAGATGGCCTGGAAAGGCAAATTCTAAGTGACGACTGCGGCACGACATGCATGCATTGACATCCTCGACTGGAAAACATCACAAATTAATGATGAAAAAATCTTCGGCTTCATCGATTGGCTTTGGTGTGACCGACGGTTTCTTTTTCGCCTTGTCCCAATGAGACACTGTGGTTTGGAGGTAGATGTCATCAAGCGCAGGCCGCATGATGGACAAAAGTCCGGTTTCCTTATCGACTGGGCCGGGCAGGGAAACGCAGGTCTGACTCCAAAGTGAGGGGAGCCATCGTGCAATCTTGCGCCAGAGTGCGAAGACTGCCGTCGGGATCGCTGTAGTTGGTGATCCACTCGTCAAGGCTGTCCATGGGATTGTTGCGGGGAGGCGCTGAGTGCATCTCAGTGTCCTCCATGGTGACAGGTGGTGCGACGAACGACAGGTAGTAAGACAAGCTTGGCGAGCAAGGGGTTGAGAATTGACAGTATTGATTTGCCGTGATGCCGTGAGGTTGCAAGGACAGGGCAGGTTGTGAGGAGGTTGATGGAGTAGAGAAGAAGTTTTGGAAGGAAAGAAGGATTTTGAGCCACACAAGAATCTATCTTGCTCACACTCTGTGAAGTCGTGTGCGAGGTTCCAGGTTGAGGCTCTCGACAGTGCTTGTCTTCAGCTTCCTTTGACAAGACTGTCGTCAACCGTTACGCACTGTTGCTCTGTCCAGCAACCAGTTGCTCACTCTATCATTCTCTGTCAGCATCACTTGTGAAGCATCTCTTCGCGTAACAAGTGGTGCCCACAGCCAGAATCTAACTGACGACGATTCTTACTAGAGGTATGAATGGTGCTGGTGACTGGGGGCATGGAGACACAGAGAAAGACGGCGCAAATGATCTCAAGAGGATGAGACGAAAGGGCATCGAGAAACTGGACTGATATGTGCTCGTCTATCTGATATGTTTCCGTAGACAAACGATGCTTTGATCTCTCTCTTTCATCCGATTTACTATTTCAAAAGACTTTTAAGTCTGATCTTACTCTCACCGCCGGCGAATACAGAGACGGCTTTAAGAGTACATCCACTATAAAGAGGAACCACCACAACATGGAGAGATCTTTATCCACTTGAGTGCATCCATCACTTACAACGCAATTCGTCACTTCGCTCGAGGACCACTACCGCAGAACGCCATAAACGCCCACCACGCCTCTAAGCGCGGTTTAGCCCATTAGTCGAAACCACCCTCCTCTACCTCCCCTCCAAGACCTCCGGAAGCATCACCAGAATCGACAACCTTAACGCCGCCTCCAACCACACCTTCAAGCCCATCCTGCCCTACGGCTTCTACTCGAGCCTTGTGGCCCTTTCTAGGTTACGGCATCGAGCAGTTCGCGGTTCTTTGGGACCACATGAGGCCGCTCAATGAGCGCCCAGGATTCCTACCGACCCTCGACACCATCGTCGGCTCGGCCGCAAGCATCGGAACTACGATGATGGGCGTCGCGTTGTACGAGGCAGGAGTCGTCAACTTTTAGCTCCAAGCGATGAGAGGAATGCGATTTGCCGATTTCTATAATAATTGGGCCAGCTCTGTTAATGTAATGGGCGCCGTGATGGCTCTCTGCCACGGCAGAGCGGTTTCCCATGAGCTCGGGTAAGTCAACTTGAATCCGTTCTTCCATCACTTCTTCCATCACTTTGCTTCCTCTCCGGTGTTCGCGTAAAGCTTTGGCGTTCTTGAATGGAGTGTTGCAAATACCGCAATGGAATTCCGAATTTTCGTTCGGAATAATACCAGCTACTTTGTTCTGGTGCCTCTGGGATGTGTAGTGTCTGTCCAACTTAGATTGGGTTTGGAAAGGTTCGTTGCAATATTGTTTTTGCCCCATTGCTTAACCGTTTCTTTGTGTTGTGCGGCCATTGCTGCTTTTCTTTCTGTAGCTTCCTCCCCATTCAATAGCATGAAGTTTCCGTTTGAGTCCTGAAATACTCCAGTGTAGAGGGTTCGCCCTTGAATTGTTGGGATGGAAAATGCCCCTGGTATGGCAAAAGAGATTCTCTTTAAACCAGTGGAAGTTCATTTGCTGTTGGATGACAAAGGAAGAGGGAAGGGAAGAAAGGTCGAGGAGTGAAGAAGACATGGCTGCGCTGGACAAGGGTCGGGTCCATTTCGGCGGTGCACATCGCGGTTGTACCTTGAAGCAAGACACTCACCCAGAGGATAACACACAACATTATTAACAGAATGTGGAACGTGTTTGAGGATGTAATTCCAGGCACTCCTGGGGCTTTTCGGTTTGTTCGTGTTCAATCGGCTTGAATCAGTGTCAGCCTTTGGGAGTGTCCAAGCCACGGGTACCTGTCCCCCCTGGCCCCACCAGGCGACCTGTAAGCACGAAGTGGGAAATGCAAGGTAATGCAAGATGTATTGTGTTCTGTCTGATAAAGAGGAGAAGAGGGGAACCAGACAGGTGGGCATGGCCCAGTTTATGTAAGGGAGATCGGTGTATGCAGTGTATTCTGCACATAGTTGATGATGAACTAGGCTAAGTCTGACCGGGACTGGCCGTGTCCTCCAATAGCTTTTTCCGGCAAGAGCATCGGTTGCCAAATCTTCCAGTCCGTAGGGAACCAGAGACAATAGTTCCTTGACGAGCGGGTGGCTGTTCTTTGGAATTTGCCGGGTCTAATGAGCTGCTGGCGTTCGGCCTCTGCCACCAGATACCACCAAGAAGAGTGGGAACCACCCGCCTGGTCCGTCCAGAGCTGCGCCGCCAACTTGTTCTGGTTGGCGGTGCCGCGAGCATTGCCCACTCCGTACTCCCACTACCTTGCAGAGAAGGGCTGCAAGGTACAAATTCACTGGATGCCTCGGTGCTCCACATTGAGCGCGGCTATCGCCGACTATACCGCCGGGCTGTGGCGGCAAGAGACTACCATCTACAGCCAAGAAGATTGGCCTCCCGAACAGAGAGATGGAATTATGAAGAAACTCCACCAGGAGGTCAGCAATGCTGTCCATAGAAGTTTCAGCGAACCCCCGGACGACCCTGAGGGTGAACGCCCTGCCAAAAGGCAGAAGACGGTTGAGCCAGGGATTTCCCATCTTCCCTCAGCCTTCGCCTCATTCTAGAAGACCGAGGACGTGGATGTTGCCGCCCCTTCCGCCGCATTGATCGACACATATCTGGAAGGGAGCTTCGGACGGCGCTCTCAACTTTTCCATCGAATCCGACGGCAAGATAGCGTTCGATGCCCCGCAAGGCTTCCGTGTCCGACTTAACATCATCGAAATCGGAAACGGGTGCATCGATCGCATCCACCTACATGCCGCCACCGACGAACCCCTTGAGCAGAATCTCATGAACGTTATGGCCAAATGCGCCAGCAATCCTTCGACTTCTCAGCTCGCGAAATTTGCTCGTGAGTGGAATCAAGGGAGAAGCGGAAAGCCGGTTAATTTGGCAAGCGTGCGTCGTGCCTTTTCCGCCGCCTGGCTCTTGGACACTCTTTATCCTTCTGTCTCTTGCGATCCGTAGAGACACCTAAGTTAGCATAAAGTTAGGTTCGAAAGCAAACACTCCTTGACTCAGTCAAGGAACACGCATTCACATTCACAACAAGCATCAAGTCACCAAACGGAACATTCAAGCGCAGCCCAGAACCAGATCAATTCATCACCAGGGGTATCAACCTTCAACTCCGGGAAACCGTTCATCCTGAACCCAAATCCTCCTTCGAGAACTCCAAACCAAAGATCACAAGTGAATCCCAGAATATCATCAGCGCCTCCCAACGCGTCATGACATAAAGTCTGGCAGGATCCAGCCCGTAGACCTTTGTCAAGAGCTCCCAAGACCACGCAATAGCCTCCTTCTTGAATCTTGAAGCGACCGACATCCTGCCCTCTGTCATTGGTATTGTTTTCCTTTCCACAACACTATGCCAGATGCTCAAAGCAAAAGACGCCATCGAAGTTCCGGATCCTGTGCCTCATCTCCCTTACCCCATCGCCTCCCTCATCCCATCCCGGCCTCCCAATGAACAACCATGTTGGCCAACACGTCTATCCCAGGTCTTCGGGAACGTTTTTTCAACCCATACTTCGCTTCACCCGGGAAATTTTCTGGGAGCGGAAATCAATGACTGGCCCGTGAACTTCCTCGCCCTGGGTCTTCGGGGAGTGCTAGAAAGAAAGATGTACCTCGGAACAAAAGGTAGCCCTGCACGCTAGTCCTGGGTCTTCAGGCGCGTTTTTTCAACCCTGTCACACGCAACCCCGGGTTTTCTGGGTGCGTTTTATCTGCCCAAACTTCCTCGCCCTGGGTCTTCGGGGAGTGCTAAAGTTGCCCCTTTACGTTGCTCCAGGTCTTAAGGAGTCGTTTTTTCAGCCCGTTATACGCCGAGTCCCAGGTCTTTGGGGGCGATGGTTGCCTGTTTGCAGCATTTGATTCCAAGGTCTTGAGGAGCACTGTGGTTGCCCTTGTATCGCTGGTCCCGGGACGATGGGGGCGATTCTTGTAGACCCAGCTGACGCTGGGCCTTACAAGTCCCTGCGGAGCAAGGGGTCTCGTCTTCGCTCTCGCTCTCCTCACCCGAAGATGAGGCAGCGGAGGAACCTCTCGAAGGAGGGCGGAAGGCGCGTTCGATGTCAGCGGCAGCAGCGACTGCAGCGTGATCTTCAGGGCCAAACGCGGACGAGGAAGAAGAAGAGGGGCTGGCGGCGGCGGCAACCGGAGCGCGAGCAACGGTGTAGCCAGCTTGAGCCGGAGCAGGAGCTGGAGGAAGAGGACGAGTCTGGGCTGGGGCTAAGCCACCAGCGGGGCCAGACAACGTCATCTGTCTCAGGGCTTCCTGGGCCTGCTTCAAATCACCTTCTCTGACGGAAGTCAGAGACCTCTGTCTCCTCTTGCTGCTCTTGGGCGGGATGGGCGGCGGCGGGCCATCGGCAGCGACAGCAGCGGTGGCAGCACCAGCAGCAGCCTGGCGGTCCCTCTCCTCGAGCTCCAGCAGAGCTTCGCGAGCCTCCTGCCTCTTAGCGCGCTCGAAGTTCTCCGGGTCGAGGACGCACTGGCGGCGCACCACGGCGACGAAAGCCAGCATGATCTGCTCGATGCGCTCGTAGAAAGTCTTGCCGAAGGCGCGGACGACGGCGGCGTTCAGCCGGTTACCCAGCTGAGCGTACACGGGCTCCAGCTTGCGCTGGAACTCGTCCCACCGCTTCTTCTCCAGGTCGCGGGCGCGACGCCAGTCGGCCTTCTCCCGGTCCGACAGGTGGTTCTGCCTCTGGGAGAAGTGGTCGAACACTTGGTTCTTCCACTCGTTCTGCCACAGCTCCTCCAACTGCCGGATCCGCCGCGAGTGGTGCATCGGGCAGCACATGGCCAGGTGCTGCGGGATGACCATGACTTCCTCGCACCTCTTGCCAGTCCGTTTGGCGCGCTGGCACGGCGCCCATTTGGGAAGGATGGGGTCGTCGTCGGTGAGCTTGTTCAGCTTGCCCTTGCAGCCGCCGTGCTCGTGGTGGCAGTGCCAGTACTGGTCGATGCGGAAGCACATCTTGGTTGCCGTGGGGAGGTAGAGGAGGTCGAGCTTGATAGTGGCGGGGACTGACTTCCTGGTGAGGAGAGTCAGGGGCAGCAGTGGTGGAGAGACGGGAGAGTCCTTGCCGTCCGTCGGAGAGGAGGAGGGGCCGAAGAACAAACTCGGGCTGGATGTCGAGCTTGGTTGTGGCGTGGGGAGAGACTGACGGAGAGTCGGGGGGCAGCAGTCGAAGACGAGCGAGAGAAGGACTTCGGGCGCTTGGGAAGGTTGACGCCCTTGCTGAAGGTAAGGTCGTCAAGGAAGCTTTCTCTGGGGGTGAACAGGGAGAAGCGCGGCAACTTTGAGGGGTTAGTAATCTGAGAAAAGAATCAAAGGACCTGAGAGTCTTACTTTTGGGGTTTGGCGTCTTCCGCCGAGAGACGAGCTCAGAGAGGTAAGCCCGGGGAAGTTCTTTCTTGACCAGAGGGAGGCGGCCAGAGACAACGGAGAAGGGACAAAGTCGTAGCGAGCTGACGAGAAGTGGCTTGTAGCTTGGGAGGATCTTCAACTGTTATGGTGGAGAAGAGAGAGTGCTGTTGACTGCTGTTGACTGCTTTGGGGTTGGATTTCTTCACTCAGAGCTTGCTGGCGGGGTAATACCTGGGGAAGAAAAGAGGAAGAAGAGGGAAGGAAATCTTGGCCCCGGGTGAGATTTTATGGAGGGGCAAATTGAGGATGATCCACGATCCTATTGTGAGAGCTCTGAAACGAGGCTGCAGTACTTTCAAATCATCCCGTCTTTTGACGGCTGGTTACCTTGGGATTTGTACGAAATGGACGTCACCGGGACAACAGAACGAAAGAATCGAGCCACTAGCCCTTGGCATATCTGGGTCTCGAACTTGGAGACGAGACGAAAGACGCGACGAGATAACAGAGAATGGAAAAGCTCTGGTCTAGTATCCCTGCAGGGCAAACGCCGTCTTGAAGTTGGAAGGAGCGGCTACGGGATGGCGGGGTGGTTTGGAGAATTACGTCCCGGTCACGGACCGCGGGGTTTCTGGGCTGTCAGGCAGTCACCATGGCCATCACCGTTGATTCACTTTTGGGATGTTGGCCTTATTTCTGCAACGGCTTCATCAAATTTTCGAATGCGGAGACAATCTTCTGGCAAAGAACCCGAACTGAAGACATGGAGCGCAACTCCGTATTGCTGCTATCTTGCTCGAATTCAAAGCTCCCTTGAGGTTGCTGACCTTCAAACTCAACTCGGCTGCAACAAAGCATGACAGCCTGAAATAATGGATCTCTGAACAGGCCATATCACTTTCGCAACTGCTCGAGCTTCCAAACTCATCCTGGCCTGCACCGAGTCTTCGCTGACTTTCCTCCGAGCAAGACACTCAAGCTCTGCGCTCCGAATTTCATCTCAATTACCTCTAAAGGACTCTCCCGGTCATCTTCATTCTCAAGAAGCATATATCCTTGTGCTACCCTTGAGGCTAGATCGAGCAGGCATCCGATAAAAGTGCTCAAGCTCGGACCATATCGTTTCCTCCCCGTCCTGGGCGAGACAGACACTCAACTTTTTGCCTCACTTTAACTGTGAAAACCACTGTGCAACTCAACATTCTGAATAGCTCTGAATGAGAACTTCCATCCGTATTACAAGCCTTAGAGGTAGTCTAGGCTTTCTTTCTGGAAACTTCTGTTGAGGCTAGCAGGGGCACGGAAGAGGGATGAAGTCATATGGGAGAGGGCAAAAGGGTGACGGAGACGCGGGGTGTGGATGTAAGGACTACGGCAGGCTGAAAAACTTGGTCCAGGCCTGTCGTTTATCTGTATTTGCTTGGACATGGTCCAGTTGTTGAGTCGCGCGGCTGGGTGCCTGAAGGCTGAGGCTGCGTGAGGCACAAGCACTTTGTTGGGCACACTTTGCGTCTTTTGTCGACGTTCAAGTTGAGGTCTCTGGTACACGCCGGGCAGTGATTTATTGCTTTCAAGAATACCTAACTGCGCTGCTCCAAAGTAACCAAGCTCTACAGGACCATGTCTGATCAACTCAAACTCCGGGCTGCCTTCTGGACATGTCCATATCCCAAGCCGACTTTTCTCCAGACCGTGTGCCTCCTCCAATACTCCTGAAGATTCTCACCTCACGTTTTACCGCTTTCACAAAGCAGGGGCATGAAAGAGCTCTTGTCCTATAGAAGAGACGAAACGGGAGACTTTCTTCTCCGTCTTGGGACGACCTGCTGTCCCAATTTCCATGTTGTCCCCGTAAATCGTCCGGAGTCTTGGAGTTCAGTTCCTCTGTCTCGTCTCTATTTGCTGCTGAAACCGAGAGCAAACAAACCTCTCGCTTTTGTGGGTTATGAGCTGGTTTATTCCTTCTCGTAAGATCGCCGTGTTTGTTCAAGTGACCTTGGCTTTGCTGTGAGGTGAGAAAGGGCTGAAGACCATGTCAACATGTCCTTCGCAATGGTCGTTGAGCATGATTTGACTCTTGTCTTGTTTTTTGAAGGCTAGAAAGATGACATGTCTTTAAACAAGCTCGATGATCGCTCGATTTCGGGGGACGTGGAACTGCCTTGGGTTCCTTATAAAATAGAGATACGTTGGGCGGTATCAGGCCGGCCACGGGAACATTGCTCGCAATCTTGACCGGACACTCCGCTCTACTCGTAGAGGTAGAGAGCGTCACTTCTGTGCTCTTGGAAACCACGGACTATGTGTGGCCCAGCTGCGGTGTTCTTGTGAGTACAGGTAGCTAGAAGACCTCAAACACGGAGATCCAAAGACAGAACAAAGAAGCCACGGACTTGACAATCTACGGTGTACCTCTACTTGTCGAGTACATCAAGGAGAGAAGCAAATAGTCTCCAATCAATCACGGATTCATAGTCACATCATTGTCAAGTCATACTTGTCACACAGTCCCGATCGATGTCACATGTAGCGGACGGATACAACAAGACCAATATATTTGAAAAGTTTTTCGATTGAGGGAGTGCATGAGAAAGAGAAAGAGAAAGAGAAAGAGAAAAAGAAAACCAAGGCGAAGGAAGCCACACAATATTTACAAGAAAACCCAGTGTTCAACTCGTTGCCCTTTCGTGTAGCCGCCAGCTCGTATTTCTCCACCACCACGCCACCTATTCTCCTCCACTCGGAATCGGATCCGAAGCAAGAAACCGCGGGAGTCAGTGCTCTACCGCCAAAGGCAGCAGAGTTGCTACCACGCCGTCCCATAGTTGTGTTTGCTTGCTGAGGTTGTCCCGCAGCCTGGCGTAACGCTGCTATTCTAGGAGCCGCTGGCCGCCGCAATACGAGAGTCTCTCTCGCTTCCTCTGATAGCTCTCCCGAGTCTCTTGAGCCTCTTTGGGTGCGAGGGCTTCCCGTGTAGTCCCATTCATACCGACACAGTGAACAGAAGAGGAGGACTTATGCGACCGTGCCAATTCGTTCCCAGACTGATCTTGTTGACTGGGTCGGTATATTGCTCGTTGATGTTCTGGGCGGAGCATTGCTGGAGGTCTGTCTCGATGACACCGGTCTCGGGAGTAATCTTCTCCGGTTGCTTGCAAGGACCATGCCGAGGACGGAGGAAACTCGGGCCATCATTAACAAGAAGATCGATGACTTCGAAAGGGCCCATGTGGCAAATTGTGCGACGAGCGTTGCGGAGAGGCTCTCCCACGACAGTGACTGAGGGAACCTAGGATCACTGTGGGTTGAGGACAGGGCGAGATTGCCATTGCTGGGTAGATCCAATATCGAGAGAGCCTGCCTTGCATCGAACTTGTCAGCGAGTGTATGGACATGGTGACAGGAGGTATCGGTCCCTTGCAGTACACACCTTGTTCGACCGCAGCGGCGGGTACAGCGCCACCGTCAAGGTGGTTGGCGGGCTGCATGTGCATTTTCTGTCTCCATATCCCACGTTTGGTTCCATTTTCTTGACAGGGCAGTCAGCTGAGGTTGTGTCTTGGGCAAAGTGTTGCATGGGGGCGGAGCCGGTTGAGCGTACCTTGAGACGCCAAATGGTCTCGGCCAGTGCAGTACTCGAGGTTGGGGCTGTAGCGGGGCCGTTGAGACGGGCTTGTTTTTCTTCCGGCGCTGCTCAAATGGTGTATTTGATCAGAAATGCACAACTATCAGGATGGAAGAGCGATGTCCAATGGCAAGGAGGTTGACAAAGTCTGTGATTGCGGAGGGGCAAAGGATGTTGGAAGCTTGAAAGGAACCAGAACTATCACAGGTGCAAAGGCAAGAAAGGAAAGGACGGGAGTCAGACTGTCTTACCTCGAGGCCGAGTCTGCCTGATGGGTTGCTGACGGGACACTTATGTTGCGAAGCGGGAGAGGATGTCGGCAACCCATCAGGCAAAGATAATCGGGAGTTCCTGGTGCGATGGTGATCTTGAAAATTGGAAAAGAAAAGTCCATTGATGACATAGGGAAACAAAACGAGCAGAAGACCTGGGAGAAGGGGAGTCTTATGTCTACCAGCATGGTCTCTCAGAGCCGAGAGCCCAAGAGCACGACGGAAAGAACTCAGCCAACCAAGTCGTTACCGTACGTCGGGCCAGTCTGCGCTGAGAGAAGAGGTACCTTGGCCAAGTACCTCCCTCCTTCCCATCCGGTCTTTCAAGAAGGCCCTTCAAGAACAGACCAGAGGCGTGCCCTGAGCAGGGGTGAAAGGTGGGGTGTATCCAGTAGATCTTCGGTCCCGGAGCAAGTCTTCCAGGCTCAGGGGCAGGCACGCAGGGCAGACAGAGATTGAACTTAATGGCCAGCCGTCCGTTTCAAAAAGGAAAGAGGTAACAGTCACGGTACCTAGGTACAAGGCTGGAAAAGCCTGTCCATAAGTGAAATCCAGAGCTTCTTTTTTTTCCCTCGACTTTTTTTCCCTCCCTCTTCCTCTGTCATCCAACATCAAAGTGAACATCCACTGTTTTTCATTTCTCACAATGTTCTGCCGCTTGTCCCCAGATGCCAAGACTGGCTTGAAGGTACTCCTAGCCTTCGCAACGCTCATCCTCTGGTTGTTCACCATCTACTTTCTGACCCACAAACACAAACACGCACCTCCCTCTCCGGCTCCAAGCAACACCCCGTCGGCCTGTAGAGCCACAATCACCATCACCACCACCATCATCACCGGCACCACCATGACCACCACCGTCGCCCTCACCACTTCAACTGTTATGGGCCGCCTGTAGGCAGCTGGCGTCGATGCCGATGACGACGAAGACCGCGACCGACCTGGATGTAGGAGAACCTAGAACGACCGTCGGCTGGAAGGGTCTTATTAACGATCCCGATATCGACTCTTCCTTCAATCTCCGGTGTGCTTGTGGGAGCCCGTAAGTACATCCCCTTCCGTGATCTCAAACGGATATTGTTCCTGACAAAGTTTTCAGGAGGCAGCCTCAGGACAAGTGACTTGACTTTTTCAAGTTGTTCGTTCTCCCTACGCCGTCCAGGACTCCGAGACGGGCGAGCTTTTCTTGGGGCCCGATCAGTTTAGCGATGCCGTGGCTCCTAGCAGCGTTCCTTGGTAAGTGTTCACTTTCTTTCCCATCTCATTCCTCATTAGTCTTCATGTTCCCTTCAGTCTACCATCAAGTTTGCTGACACCACTGTTTCTCTTGCTCCAGGCCGCAATACGAGAGTCTCTCTCGCTTCCTCTGATAGTTCTCCCGAGTCTCTTGAGCCTCTTTGGGTGCGAGGGCTTCCCGTGTAGTCCCATTCGTGCCAAGACGACCCTCTCCCACCTCCTCCTTCATAGTGTCAACGGCGGAGGTGGGAGAGGGAAACAAGCTCAACGTATCCATGGCCGCAGGTGATATCGCCCAGTCAATCCTGAACGCCGGTCTGGTGGCGACAAGTATCCCAACCGAGGGCCTGATCACCTCTCCTACCTGAAGTGCCTACCTACCTTACCTATCATGGGGGGCATGGGCGTGGCTGATGCTGTGTCCATAGTCAAGGGTTCTGTGGGCGGTGACAGCCCGTACACGAGGTCGCGCAACGGCCTCAAGATTCTGCTGCCTTTGTTCGAGATGGTCCAGGTGACCAGGGACAAGATTATCGCCGCTGGTACCCTCCGTGTCGGTTGGCCATTGTGTGGTTTTTGTTGTCGCGTTTCTGGTTGCTGTGGAAGGCTGAAGAATCTCGCGGGAGATATCGAAGCTGAGACTGCACATCACAGTTCCTACCTGTACCTGTACCTACCTCTAGCCTGTTATTTGGGGATGAATGTCACATCTAGTAACAATACAACCTTCACCCTCTGGTACTTCGCAACATCGTTATTGACCTTGACGCTTCCGTGATCTTTTGTCAGTGATCTCCATGCTCTTGTAGTCTTTCTCTATCATTTCCCTTGAGTGCATATGGCAATTCCTGCCTGTGTCTCCCATGCCAGAGCTACGTCTTTACTGCAAACAAGGAATAATGCAACAATTCACGGAGCCGTTTGTCTTTTGGCTTTGGTTCTCAGTGATGCCAAAGGCGGCCATTTCAACCAACAAGAGGTTTACAAATGGCCCTTGGTGCAAACCACAAGCATGTCACTACGTCTAGAGATATGATGGCCTCTTTTTTCTCTCTGGCTGCCCCCCATGTCTCCATCATTTCCCGAGAATTGCCCGCAGAGTGGGTGGCATCTTTGTGCAGGTGGGCCAGAATCAAAATGGCATAGTAGATTGTGAAGCACCAGCAGATGATCATTCCCATGCACAAGATGGCTGGCAGCAAAGTGAGGACGGCTGTCACTCTTCTCTGCCTCCTGTCACTTTGCTCCAACCCCTTTTCTTTCACTCACGTTCGTTTGTCCCTTGGTCTAGCTTCATTGTTCTTGCCTTTTGCGTTCGGCCTTGCCCTTGACGGCTTTTGACGGGACCGGGCAAATGAGAGGTGGGTGGGTCCAGAAAAAGGGCACCTGCAGGGAGGGGAGTTCTTGTGACATGACGCGTGATGGGAGAAATATGATCAGCCAGGCTCATCGATTGAAGTCAGGCACTTGCGGTTTCGAGCCTTCCTTCCTTGCTTGTTGGGAGAGGTGGATGTGATCTGCGAGTGACTCGGTGGTTCGTGGCTGTGATCAACTCCATGAGGAGGGCTGGAAGTATCTTGCTCTCTCTACGGGAAACAGGTCGAACATTTTGGGGCAGTCTCCGCCACTTGCAGTCATCAAAGAACGGGCCAGTTCTCACGGCCGTCTTCCGGCTAAAGGCGGGAGACTTGGAAGGAACACGGAGCTCACGGAGACCAAAATTGGAATCAGAGTGTGAGTGTCTCCGGAGCCCGGAGAATGAGGAGAAGTGCGAGACTGCTCTTGGCCTCGAGATCCAGGCCGGGAGGCAGAAGTGCACGACTCTTTCCAATTCTCTGGAAGGACTCAACCGCACAAGGGACGCATGACGGGACGCGATCCGCGAACTCAACCAGAACCCCTCTTCATCCACCCCGACTCCCAACTGCCAATCCACCGCTGCTTGCACCAGCTCTTCGTCCATGCCCTCGTTCACAGTTGGCCTGAAGAGGGCTTGTTCCTGGCGTACTCGCTCCTGGTGCTCTGCGCGGGGCAGCTCTGGCTTTCCTCGTCGAGCTGAAGGTGGATCAACACCTTGTCGACAACTTCATGGTGGTTGTGCCTTGAGCTTGCCCACCGCTAGACTTGATGCTCATCAGGCCAGGAGTCTTTGCGATTGGGCACCTTCTCCTTCCATTTCGATCTCTCTCACTGTCATGATGTCCGGAACTTTCCGTCTGCCTGCCTCTTGAGACTCGACCAGGCTTCCAGAACTCGCGCCTTCCTGGTTCTCTCCATGTTCTCTGCTGGCGATCGCTGCTCAGGCTCCCGTGATTACAAGTCGTGCTGGATCGGACACTCTTCTTGTACCTGCAAGTGCGGAGAGAATGTGCCGCGAAGATCATCATCCAGGGGTGTGTCGAGCTGGAACTACCCGTCTGCCTGCCTCTTCTGTGGTGGCTCGACCTTCTCGAGCCCGTGGCTTCCCAATTGAACTTCCCATCGTTCGGCTCTCTGCGGCCATTGCGTGCTCAGAGGCTTCGTGATGCAAGGCGGCGGCTGCCTCTGGTCTAGATGCTCTGTTCTCCGCCCGGGAGCTTATCAGCCTGGAGGTTTCCGTCCGCCTACCTCTTGATTCTCGACCTTGAGGTGTTCGTGGTTTCCCATTCTTGCTTCTCAATTTCCCATTGTTCCATTTCCCATGGACATCGCGTGATTTCTCAAAACTCTGGGCCCGTGGCTGCCCCTGATCTCGAAGCTCACTTGTGGCCTTGTGAGCACCTCTACGGTCCATGATCTCCGCTGCTTCTGACAAATTGGGCGCCTTGACTTCCCGTCCGCCTGCCCCTTGAGTCACTTTTTCTGGGTCCGCGGTTTCCTATTGTGCAATCTGCCATCGTTCGATCTTGGGATCCATGACCAACTGGTCACCTTCTCGTGACTGTGACTGCCAGTGACTGCCCGAACGCATGTTCCCGTCACCGGGTACCTTTACGGCTCATCTTCTCCGCTTATGAGGGCTTATCAAGCTGTAACTTCCCGTCTGCTTGCCTTCTGTGACTCAAAAAGTCTCTCGCAACTTCTGATTTGGATCTGATGCTCGCCTCTTTCGCGGCTATTGCTCAACGCTTCATACGGGTCATGGCGTGCCTTCAGCAAGGCCGAGACCCTCAGACTTGCCCGCTCTTGCAGTCCACAACCGCCGTCATGGTGAAATATGAAACCTCCCGTCATTTTGCCTGCAGGGAAGTGACCTCAAGGTTGATCATCAGGTGCGTGATAAGGAGATTGCCAAGTGTCACGCTCCCTCGAGGAAGACGTGATTTCGTCCGGAGTAGGCACCTGCCTTGACTGCTCTGAACTCGGAACTTCGCGTTCTGATGTATGAGTGCAGTGACTCCCACGCCTCGATCCCTCTCCCGAAAAGCATAAAAACGGGACCCAGCCTGGTCCCTTCTCTTTTTCCTTCTTCTTCTCTCGACCGGCAACCAGCATCACTGCTCACAATCTTTCAGACTTTGTCTTTCCCAACTCCAGTCACACACGAAGCACGTCTGCAACCCCAGAGCCCTCCCTCTCAACAACTGTGAGTACACACCAACATGGTCCATTGCCATTGCTTCATGTTTCTGACACCAGATTTTCAGTTTCACCCACCACACAGTGCTTCCAACTCTCCCAAGGCCCCCAGTCCCTCGGTGCCCCCCACAACTGTGAGTCCATCCACCAACATACAACATCGCCATTGCCTTTCTGAGTTCTGACTTGTCTTTTTCACCAGCACGATGACCGAAAAGACCAACGGCGCGGGGGTTGGCGCCGCTGCTGCCGCCACCACCACCACCAGCACCAGCAACAGCAACAGCAACAGCAATAACAACAACAACAACAGCAGCAGCAGCAGCAGCAAAAGCCCCAGCACCAGCAACACCACCAGCAGCAACAGCAGCAACAACAAGAGCAGCGGTGAGGGTGGAGGAGGGGGCCTAGACTACAACAGGTGGACAAGGGGCGCCTGGTTCGAATGATGAACACAATTTGGCTTCCTCTGTGCTTTGCTTTCCGTCGTGACTTGCTGACTTGCCTTTCGTCGCGACTTGCCTTTCGCCGTGGCTTGCCTTCTGCTGTGATCTGCCTTCCATCGTGCTCTCAATACCTTCCGTCTTACTTTGCCTTCCATCTGACGTAGAGGTATCTTGCTTTCCGTCGTGCCTTGGTTTCCCCCGTGCTTTGTGACGTGACATGGAACCGAAGGTTGACTGAGTCTTTGTTCATTCGTCTCTCGTTCCACCAAAGCTCTTGCCCAAACAAGACAACGTTAGACGTACACCCACTTTCAGTCCCTCATCTTCCACGCAGATAAAAACCCCGCGGTCCCCGCATGATCTCTTCTCTGATCCTCACCCAATGTGCACTCTTCCTCTTCTTTCACAATCAGTTCACATCTTCCAGACAATCGTCACGCAAACAACATCTCTCACAGCGATACACGCCCACACTACCTACTAGCACACACAAGTCATCTTCTTCCCCAAGTCTCCCCTGCGTCACGGGGGTCTGCTCCTTGCTCAATTCACGATCCTTCGCCGCTCCTCTCTCGGCGAACTCCCCAGAACAAACTCGACATCTTTGGCATCGATCTGGTTGTGCCTCTTCTCCAACAGTCAGTCGGGACAGATGACGCAGTCTCTGTTGCTCATGGCTTGGGCATCCAAGGGCCAAGTATACACTTCGTTCGCTAAACGAGCAGCGGGGTCTGTGGGTATGTCCATCAAGATCCTCTGATTTCCGTTTGTTGTCATTCTAACACGGCCGAAGCCCATCACTCTTCCCTCCTCTTCCTCCCACCTCTACCGCGACCCCATCTCTGGTGAGAGCGTTGATGTACTCGACCTCCATCCCAATGTCCACCACCCCCTCCTCCAGGCGCGCAGCCTAGCAAGCAGTCCGACAACTCGATCGACTGCTTTAGAAAAGTCATTCGTAACGAGGGTTTCAAGGGTCTCTACTCGACCTGGCTGCCCGTCGTGGCAGCAACACAATACACCAGCGGCGGCAGGGTAAGTCACTATATCCCCAGTTTCTCCTCAGATCACCGTCTGGTACTGGACCCATGCTAATATTACCTTGCGACTTCTATTGAATAGAAACCGATAACGTACCCATCTGTATCGTAGGTAACAAGAGTGCCGATCTGAAACCGAACAACTCCAGTTTCGTCTCTGGCTTGACGAACCTACCTAAATCCCGACAGCCACGAACGGCATCCACGATTTCCAACTCATTTGTGCGAACCAGGACTCTAGTAGTGCCAAGAACGTGAGAGACATCACCGGCTCCTTAAACGCGGTGCTCTGGACTTCCTTTGTCATGATGGCCTACATCTACATTGACGCTGCGAGGAGAGAGGTAAGAACTGGAGAGAAGGGCCGTGAACTTGCAGGCGTACAGTCATGCTAACATGAGGGACCTAGGCAACTTCTTGCGGTAACCTGACTTTTACCGTCGGCATTCCGCTTCGACAAAGACGAGGCATGTGCTCGCTATAACGAGAATGTCGCCAGGGCATTCGAGCTTCTCATCGAAGGCAAAAGCACACAGCGCGCAATACCTGCCACGAAAGACCGAGCTGGAAATGCCCAAGGACCACCGCAACCAGCCCAAGGTCGCCAAGGTCGTTGCTGACCAGATCCGCGAGGGTGAGAAGGCCATCATTGGTGTCATGATAGGAAGGATGGAGCTGGATATCCTCCAGCGGTCTCTCCTTCTCTTTTCTGCTCTCTTTGCCTTCTGCTCGTTGCCTTGGCCTTTCAGCTTTGATCTTTTTCTTCTTCTTTTTTCTTCTTCTTTGTGACGAACCGTTACAAGCACAGGAGTATATCGCTGGGAATAAGAACAACGGTAGTAGTAGCCAAAAGGTACTGATCGATTGTGAAAGCTATTGCTTGCTGAAGAGCCGTAATATAAGAGGCCTGGGGAGGCCGTCTTATATACCGACCTTCAGAAGGGCGCCGCTGCGCCGCTATTACGGTTGCGGCTCTGCGGCGCTCCTGATTGGTCTATCTAGCTGCTTACATAAGTGATCCCTTATTGGATCGTAACATTCTTCTTCTTCTTCTTCTTCTTCTTCAAATCAAATTCATCGCTGCCACTTTCGTGTTTCTTTGTCTTTGTTCACTCCTTTCACTTCGACAAACGGGCCTGGGCAAGGCGCCGGAGGATTTGATGTTTTCCAGCGGTCACATCTTGTAAATAGTCCAGTCTAGTCTTGGAATCAAAGGTGTTCGATGTCTTCCATTTGCTTCGATGTTGTGACCACGTGCCTCGAGGCCGGAATGAAAGTTTTCTTGCTACATCGGTACGAGGGAGCTGCTGAAGAGAGTTTCCTCTGATTTTCCATGGCATCAGCCACAGTTAACGGTGTTTCGTTAGGGACTGAGGTCATCCAAACGTCAATGAGGCTGAGGTCACGCCGTCTTCTAGCCAAGGGGACTGTTAACGCCATAATGGTCCGTCTACCTCTAGCCAGAGGAGGGCCGAGAGCACTTCTTAGACAGGACTGGATACCCTCAGATTCGGCATGGTGATAGGGGAACATCTTCCAGATCCAGCAACAGGACATTGTACGAGGGTATATGGGAAGCTTGTTGGTGTTGAGAGGAACGTATCCTGAGTCACGATGAAGCGTTCGTTGCAGTGAGCTTCCGGGCTGTGAATTTCATGTTGTGAGAGGCCGGAGCCCACAAGCCCGGCGCTTTGTGGTCCTCAAGGTGCTTGACATGATTGACCACTGGCAGCTGCATCAGGAAACCCCTCTCGGTGCATTGGTCCGCAAACACGTGTATCTGCGGGTATTCCTGGATACATGCAGGCTGCAAGAGAAATTCGAGTGGCGGAGATGGGGACGGAGATACCTCTTGTTCGGACATCCGACATGCATGCAGGTCCGGACGTAGACGAATGCGTTAAGGCCATGGCACTGAAAGACCAAGGACAAGAAGTACAAAACCTACCTCCTTCCTTCTGTTCTTTTGCCTTCCCCCCTTCCCTTTCTTCCAATTTCCAAAAGACATCCATGTTCTGTCTCTTTGCCCAACAGGACATATTAATTCATCCCAACCACTCTATTCTCATCGCACTCTGTCTACCTCTACACGCACACACCTACACCAAGATGCCTTTTCGCCTGAGAGCCCCTTCGGTGGATGAGATGCTCGAGATCTTGTCGAGGGTTGGACCCATCCTGGAGGCCATCTTGTGGGCGTTGTATTTGATTCTTCTTGCGCAAGAGTTCCTTGGTTTTCCCTTGCAAGTGAACTTTGAAAATTTGGATAATCCCGCGGAACCTCCAGATTGGATATTCGAGGAGCTTGTGCGTCTCGAGGAAATTCTAGAACGAGACCGGCAGCAAGGCTTGGAATTGGACCTTGATGATGCCCAACTAGAGGTACCTCTACTCGCTCTCCAGCGTGAGCTAGCCCATCAGGCAAACAATCGGCCAATCCAAATTGGGATCTAAGCATCGCAAGAACGACAGCCTCATCGAATGAAGGCACGAGAACGAGCGGAATATCAACATCAAAGACGTGTGGCACTCTGGGCCATTTCACATTTGATATCAATAGGGGCGAGGGTTAGGGTCGGGTGTGCGATTTCAGGGTGTCGCCTTCTTGGCGTTTGGGTCCGCTTGTTCCGCTGATTGCAATGATTGGCTCCGTTCAGTGCAATTCGGGCCCGCTATCGACGTCGGTTCATCCCGATCTCAAAGTTGACGAGCACATCACGGCTATGCTCAGGAGTCTGATTCGACTTCATTTCCGGCGCAACGCTTCCAGTCTCTTCCAATTCTCTGGGTTTCCTTTGTCGTCATCCACTGTCGCTCTTACAACAACAAAATCGCCGATTTCAGTCAACAAATCTCGCAACATGTCGTCCTCCTCCGTCCCGCCACAACCACCTCCAGCGCCGGCCACAACGCGCCGTCCAACCGGCGCCGTTCCCTTTCTCGAATACCCATCCCCCAACGCCACAAGCACCAGCAGCAACAGCAGCACAACAAAACCAAAGCGCTACCTCCTCTTCTTCATCTCCGGCAACCCCGGCCTAATCGACTACTACGCCCCCTTCTTCACCCACCTGCGCTCCCTCCTCAACGAACTCGAATCCACATCCGCCTCATCGCCAGGCCAACAACCCATAACCTTCCACATCTACGGGCAAAACCTCATCGGTTTCTCCGATTCCGACCACCAGCCTTTTTCACCGGGATCCCCAGAAACGGAACCCTTCCTCTTGGAGGAGCAGATCGCCCATCTCTACGACTCTCTCGTCTCACTGAACGAAGAGAAAGGACCCTTCGACGAAATTATCCTAGCGGGCCACTCCGTCGGCAGCTTTCTATCTCTCGAAATCTTACACCGCTCCCTCCAATCTTCTTCTTCTAGTCTGCCAATAACCACAGCCCTCCTCCTCTTCCCCACAATCCACCAGATGCACCTCTCCCCCTCCGGCTTACACCTCTCCCGGATCCGCTCCATTCCCTTCCTGAATAACCACGCGCACGTGCTCGCCAAGTCCTTTGTCGATTTGGTGCCAGGGTTTGCGCTGCGGTGGATTACCAGACGGGTATTGGGTATGTCGGAGCACGGAAGCGAGGTTACTACGAGGTTTTTGCAGTCCAGAGATGGTATTTGGCAGGCGATTCATTTGGGGAAGGATGAGATGGGGGAGATTAGGGATGGGGAGGGGAGGTGGGGGTGGTGGTCTTCGCCGACTGCCCCAACTTCCCATGAGCAGCGCGACGAGCACGAAGAACAAGAAGTGGTTGCTAAAGAGATGGAGGGCATCGAATCTGATTGGGAGCGGTTTGATGCTCAGATCCGTCAGGAGCACGAGCAGAGGAAGGGAGAGGAGGAGAAGAGAAAGAAGCCCAAGTTCTTCCTCTACTTCGGGCAAAACGATCATTGGGTGGCGGATCAGTATCGGGATGAGTTCATTGAGAGGAGGAAGAGGGAGGGGCATACGGGGAAGGAGGGAGGGACGAAGATTGTGATTGATGAGGACAAGATTCCGCATGCTTTTTGCATTAATCATAGCGAACAGGTTGCTGAGAAGGTGAAGCTGTGGGTGGAGGAGGTTGTGGAGGGGTAGATGGAGATGGGGAAGGTTGGGACCGGGCGCCCGGATTGGAATACTGCATTGACAAAGGAGAAGAGCGTACAAGGACGGCTGTCAAAGGGTAGAAGGCATATAGAGCAGCTATACGGGTACCATCAGACACACAACAGGTATTCCAACCTCAAAAGGAGGGATCAGACATACGTAATCAACTTCAGTTTACCCACAAATAGCCGTTGAAGCCGTTCAAGACCATTGATGACATGCGTGGGATAATGACCCAGCCGTTTATAGGCCCTTTCAATGCTCCCATGTTTGACAACAGCTATCACATCCAGCTCCAAACACACGGGTTTGGCACTTTAGCTACCCACGGACATGCCCTAATGCACCGACCGGTATTATTCCATTACATCCTGCCCTGATAGTCCCCTCTTTCTTTCTAAATGTCACTGGCATCTCGAGAGACCTGTTTGAGGCGCCAGATGGTCTCCCCACATTTACATCTACGATTGATCTCTAGGGAGGAACAAGGATAGAGATGGAGGCATGCTGGAGAGTTACGTAGGTAAACGGGTTGATGATCACGCCCTTAGGCTGTCCTAACTAACTGCTTCTCTGCGTTTCAAGTTGAGCTAAATGCCGGTGTGCTTCCGCTTCTCGCGCTTGTGCCTGTGTCCGTCTCCATGCCCTTGGCCTTGCCCGTAATCATGCCTACCTCTATTTACAGTGATACTAAATGCCCACTGCTGCCGGCCCCTGTTGATCTACTTTGCCCAGTACCCCAGTCCGCCTTCTGACTTCCATCTTCATCTGGCTACTTACCCCTCAAAATCTGTTCTGCAACCTGAGCCTGAACCTGAACCTGAACCTGAACCTGGACTAGAGCCTGGACTAGATCCCGGGCTAGAACCTGGACTAGAACCTGAACCTGAACCTAAACCTGAACCTGGATCCTAAGATCGAAGATCCACATTCAACGTCAAGCGGCAACTCCATTTCAACGTCAGTCGCTCCAAAGTGGAACTCCACTCCAACCTCAACGTCAACCCCTCAACTCTATTCCGACGTCAGGACTAGTAAACTTTATTTTAACGTCCATTCGTCAAGCCATCATGTCCTCCCACCCCCTACCTTTGGTTCCAGTCTCAACCTAGGTTCTTGGGATCTATTTCGCCTCCGGGGAAGGAAGGGACATTGGTGGAAGGGAATCTAAGTGTCATGATTTGAACCATATACGTCCATCGTCAGCAAAGAGGTTTGAGCAGGTCTACAAATGTTTCGTGAGCGCGTAGAGACCATCCCGCAATTCACACAACAAGAAGCGAGGAGGTGGATGGCAGGCAGCCTTGGATACCTCTATACCTCTATGTAAGGTACAGGTATCTCTCAGTTGCTTGTCAGGCTCCAGCTCCAGTTCCAGTTCCAGCTCTACCTCCGGCTCGGCCACACAAAGCTCCATCCATTCAACAAGGCCAGTTTGGAGAGCCTGCCCTCTGCCCTCTGCCCCTGCATGAGGATATCCCAAAGGGGTGTGATTGAAGCCAGGCGGCCGGCCGGACCCAGTCAAGAGTTCAATGAACCTTTGCGGGAGCTACGCCGGGCGTTGTTGCCCTATAACACTCCAAACTTCAAGAGTTAAGGTATGTTTTCCGTCTTTGGGGGGCTTGGGTATTCATTGGAGGTAGTGTTACGATGATCATTCGAAGTCGGTTATCGGTTGTTGGATTGGATGTCTGTTAGGGGGTTGTCAGTGCACCGGTCAGACATTCGACGAGGAGGTTCAGAGCCTCCCTGGGGTAGGATTGGCTGTCCATCCCTCTGTCTTTCGGCTTCGTGATGAGCATAACCCGGCTAGCTGTGTTACCTGGGTTGTCAGCCTTCAAAGTTCGAGCGTGAAGCTTAGAGGGGAACGGTGGCAGGAAAGGGGGAGAAGGCTGGGGTTAGGCAATGGGGATGGAATGCGTTTCACTTTCTTTGAAGCAGAGTACTATAGGAGCTGTGGGAAAGGATACAGCAAATAGTGATGGCGTTTACTCCGCGTCGACTACCGTAGCCTTCGGCTACACGTTCTCCAATTGAGGCTATTTGCGATCCTTCATGTTGGGTTTGGAGTTCCCTTCCCAGACAAATCTCTCTGTTCTTGTTGTTTTCCTTTCATTGCTCGAACATCGTCTGTCATTACGGTCATCATTGTAGTATATCCAACTCTTGTCCTTCTCTGCGCTTCATGTCCATCATTCCATGACAATGCAGCCAATATCCTGCCTCATATACACGTTTCGGACTTCTGTGGAGGAAACACCGATGGCAGCACCGGTATCTCATACCGTATCTGATCCTCAGACTGCCTAGCTGCTATCGTAGTACTCGCCCCGACGGTCTGCTCCATGTCTTCAACACCCTTGTCGATTACAAATCCTCCGTCGGGCCTTTGTCCGACACTCGTGATCTCCTTGTCCTCCTTGGCGTAATGTTCGTACGACTTGTAGCGGAATGGTGGCTCGGGCTGTGTTGTAGGTAATCCCCCCTCAAGTGTTGCGGCTTCCCGATCGCCCAATGATAGGCCGGTCGTCTTGACAAACGGTCCTGGGTCGTGTCTGTCTAGCTTGTGGCAGAAGTAGTTGAAGAAGAGGAAGCAGTGGAGGAGCCTGTTGCGTACGGTTAGTTGTTTCTCAGGAAGGCCAGACCCAGTGAAGGCTGGAGGCTCAGGTAGCGTGGACTCACATCAGTAGAAGCAGCATCGCAACCTCCACAATGCCCTTTCCCAACGGCTCATCATACGCCGGCCCAAACGTTGCGATTCCAATGATCAAATTGACCAGCACAATTCCCGTGGTGGTAGCGATGCCCGCAAACAATATCCCATCCGCCCAGACATGATACACGGCTGGTATCCCGCTCGATTTTCGGACACAAATTGCGATGAACTCCGCTGTGTTCCAAGTGATGATAACGGGTGCCTTTCGCAAAACATCAGTTAGTATAACAGTCCTCTCCCACAGTACCGTCGAATGACTCGAGCGAGCGAGGAAGGAAGGCAAACCTACCACCACAAGCACAGCAATCATCCTCCCCGGAACTCCTCCCCGGTACAGTCGGCTTTCAACAAACACCGCCACGTTCAGACTCCACGCGATGATCGCAACAACCATCGAGATGGCGCGAATGATGATGGAGAAGATGAACCAGGTCCTGTGGCCTGATGATTCGCCGCCTCGCGCGCGGCGCCATTGTTTGATGTCCCGGCGGCAGGGCTCTTTGGCTAAGGGCGGGAGGGTGTCTAGCCAGGACTCGACGGCAGGGTTGGTTGGATGGTCGAAGACATAGGCGAGCGGCGGGTGCCGCAGGGGGTCGGCCCGCGGCATTAAGCCGTTGGTTTTGGATGGCAGGGCGGCGCAGCTGTCCGATGTTGTGGCTCAAGTTGTTGATGAAGACGGCGATGGAGGCGGCTTCAACTTGAGCATCTCGAGGATGAAGACGAGCCGATAGGGTGGCCGGTTTGGTTGGTCCTTCGAGACGGAGTGCCGATTATAATGGATGGCGCATCCAACTTTTATTTCGGAAGGACAAGAGATGAATAGCGGCGCAGAAAACTATCGCGGTGTTACTTGAAGATGTGTATCCGTTGCTATCGGTTCGTGTTGTGGTCCTTGGTGCCTCTCGGACCCCGGCGCTCCCAATCCTCAGTTCTTCCGGGCTCCTAGACGGTGATGATGCTTATTGGACAGCCAAGGTCGGACCTGTCGTTGAGAAGGTCTCGAACAAGATGTTTAGCTTCGAGCCATTGCGCCGCCGAGCATGGAAACCTGTAACATATAGGAAAAGAAGAAGTCAAAGGCCAGGCGCGAGTGTTGAAAACGCCGGTAGGTGTAAAACCAGGACGTTGGCAAGTCGCATAACGGCAGAGGAACATGTTCTGGAGAAGCAAGTCTTCCTGCCGTCGGTCAGTAAACTTCCAACACGAGAGAGCAAGCTTGTCGAGAAAGGTACTAGTGCTGTGCAAGCGTGGGAGCAAATGTGGAGAAGTCAAGGAATTAGACTCTAGGCACCGAAATTGGACCCCTGCTCCCCTGTAACGATGCTTGATACAGGGAGAGTCTGGAAGACGGGCATGCGAGACACGGCACCAACCTTCAGGGGAAGTGAGACGAGACTGTGAGAGTCTGGAATCCTGCCAACTTCTGATTGGGCGGCTCTCTTCCATGGGAGGCTCTCCTTTGAACCTTTCTTTAACTGGACTGGTCCGGTTGTTGGCTGTTGGCCGTTGGCTGTTTGTTGGTTGTCACTTCCGTCTCAAAGCGGCCGAAATGGACCAGGGCAACAGGCCCGGGCCGTCAAGCCCTATCGGGAGTTCGGGACTCGGTTGTCGGCACATGGTGATGGCGGTCTTCTTTGACTTGGCAGTCCTGACCAGTCTTGAGCAGTAACTGCTTAGACTTTCGCCCTGTCGATGCTTCCCTCGGCCCTCCTTCGTGGTTCCATTGCTTCCTCCCTTCGAAGATGAGAATCCGTCTGCCTCTGCAGTTAGCTCTTTCCACTTTTTCGTTGCGGACGGTACCTTAGTGTTTGACACTCACGACTGGGCCGCTCATGCCTCACATTACTGTCCCAGCCGGCAACTCCACTTATCGATGAATGAAAGGAGGCAAGCTCCCCGAATTGATTGATGTCGCTGGTCGGTCCCGAGTGTGGTTGGCGTCTCGGCCTTCCATCAAACTCGATCGATCCACGCCTGGTCCAGCACACTGCCACATCCAGCCAGATACAGCTCCAGATATATCCCTGTCTCAAGCTCAGAAAGAGCAATTCCGGCCCACGCCAGTCAATGAGAGAGAGGCACTTGTACCTTATCGATGGCCAATGCACCACCGTGCCTCCTCTCTTTCGGACCCATTTCCACGCGGATGAACGGCTCTTCAGTTTCTCAGGACATGTTGATTGTCATTGCTGTCTCAGATAGACAAATGCAAAGAGGATTTGAGAGCAGGCGACATTGTACGACAAACCACTGTCAATGGCTTGAAGTATTCGTTGTTTCGTACATTCTCGGAATTTGTGCACTGACCGATGTATTGTGCAATGTCTTGGCGGGTTCATTCAGTGGAGTCGACGCAGGCACAATCATTGATCCCTGACAGTTGGATGGACAGCTGCTAAAAGATAACCCCAAACTGAACGCCCGCTCTCCGCATGCATGTGATAGAGGGGAGGTGCGTACCTCGCTATAGGCTGGGTTACGTCACGCAAGGACATGCGCATTCCTGCTTGTCTTGGCGCCTTCCACGGCTTTTTCGGTTACACCCACCATCCCACCACCAGAACAGCTCGAGTCTCTGATTCGCGACTGTCTGGAAAGTGCTCGGTTGCATTGGGTTTTGCTCAGGTACAAATCGTCGGCCGTTTTCTGCCCTGTTTCTTCCTTGGTTACACTCCGATCGAACCACAATCTCCATCTCTTGGACTCTTCCACTTCCAGCCTTCGCTCTACACCACCATCCACCTCCCTCCAGTCTACAGACTCTTCATATCGACATTCTTCAACTGCTACCACCGTATCAACCATCCATTCCCATCACATATTTCGAAACACCTTCGTTTCCATTCATTTACAACCACACACACAGCCAGCCACAGGCACAACACCAGCCAGGCCCAGACACAGACGGCATCCGTCCACCTGTTAGACAGCATCGCGATCAACTCCTCGACTCTCCTCAAGCCGCAGACATGGCCAAGATCCAGCCGGCCCAAGACGAGTCCCTTCTGGGCACCGTCTTCTCTAACTTGATCCGCGCTCGCAACTTTGTGACCCGTCAAACTGCCGCTGTCGTCAACACCACCTGCCAATATGTCACCTCGCCCGAATACCGCAAGAGAAGCCACGACAACGTCAGACGCTTCCACAACGAACGTCCCCTTTTGACTGTGCGTTTCTGCCTCCCCCTTCCCGGGCTAACGCCAAGGTCCCTTGGTGGTCAAATGGGATCCAGCTAACAATTTCCCATCGTCTAGGTGTTCCTTGCGATCCAATTTGCTCTCGCTTCCATCCCCCTTCTGCTGTTCCTCGGATATGTCGCCTCCACCGTCCTCGTTGGCCTCGGCGGCGCCCTAGTCTTTTCACTCTTCTGGACGGGCATTGGCCTCTTCTTCTTCGGCTGCGCCCTCCTAGTTTCAGGCTCTATCGGCGTCTTCTTGTTCATCAGCTTCATTTTGTTCCAGCGCGCCGTCCAGCTGCTCAACGCATTGACCTCGACCCTTTCACAAGGCGCCCGACCTTCCCAGGAGCAAGAGGAGCGTGAACAGCCTCTTCCTAAGGCTGAAAAGATTCTCCGCATCGTGGATGTCAAGCAGGAGGACGGGCAGAATGGCACACAGGGGGAGAAGGTCAACAGCGACAAGGAGTTGTAGGAGCCTCTCCTTGGGCTCCGTGGAGGTGGCACGCTGCCTCCCGTGGTGCATGAAGATGCGGCCGCTGGTGAAAAAGAAGTCAAGGATATAAAAGAGTCCGAAATAGAAATAATACAAAAAGAGGTTGACGGTATTGAAGATTTGCACCAACCATCCCTTAACAACGAAAGCGACATTTCAGAGACTGCGCCCATCTCTCTGCCGATCTCGGCCCCAGATGTTTCTGAGGAAACGGAGGAGACCACTCATCTGCCACCTCCCAAGGATTCCATGGAGTCTCTTCCTTCGACAACCCTCGTGGACTCTCCTCCCCCGCCACCACCACTCCAACGGTCGTCGAGACCTGAAACTACCGGGGAAATGTACAGGTATATAAACGATGAATTATCCAGATTGCTCCTGGAACTGGAACGTGTCATAAACGATGAATGGTCCAGAATGCTCCTGGAAAGCGTCATTCTAACTGGCTTGATACTCCCCGGTGTCGGCAACAAACCACCCGACAAACTAGCGGCAATCAGAAACGAATAGGCCTCGCGCCTGATGAAAATTGACAAGAAATGGGTTGAAAATTTTGAATGGATTCGTGACAGAGTGTCTCGGGGCACATCCAACAAGCTACCTCTAAGCCATATCGTGAAGGCAGCAAAGGTAGAGGCCAACCCGCATGTATGGTGGACCATACCGCTTTTACAGCGCTACAGATCGCGACGCCTTTCCCCATTGGCTGTAGTGGCGCTCGCTTGCGCGGAGGACTTGATCAATGGCTTTTATGGTGTCCAAGGCCCCATCCCACTCTCGATTTCGTTCCCGCTTCTTTATACCGTGAGACCTACAAGACAAGACGGGGTTATGGAACAACTGGATTGTGTCAAGTATCTCGCCTCAGCATACAAAAAGGAATTTCACAGGCTTCACGATATATTCGATGCTGATGGTTCCAGTCCTCCGATGTTTACGAATATTGAGCATGTTAACACATACAGTGAGTTCAGGAAACTGAGGTCACTGGTCGCCGACTTGGAACATCTGATATATGGAGATGAGATGCCAAAACAACAGGACACGCATCGTCCCACGAAGGTTGCCAAAGTTGGTGATAATATGCCAAAGCACAATGGGCCAGCCTTCAGTACAAAAGACTGTATCCTATCCATCCTACAAATATTTCGTGAGCTTGAAGCTCAACACATTGCTTGGCGCAACATCACATTTCCAGAGTATGCGGCCATACCCAGAACGGACAATGAGGCTGTTTCAGATACGATCACACTAACTCCAAAAGATGGAGAAACTCTTACAACGGATCAGGTTCTGCAACTTCTTGACCATCGCAAAACAGGCCCGCTAAAGGATGAAGGCTTCGTTGTATGGCTCGGTAAATCAGATGATCTTCAAACCGATGGACACCAGTTCTTTTGGATGAGAAAGAAGAATAAAATTGCGCGCAAAAATGGACCACGAAGCCACGGGAAACGAGCCGAAGACCGGATGAGGGTGCGAGTACTCAAGGCTCAACTCGCAGGGTCCAGCTCTGGGAATGAAAGTGGGAAGGGCTTAGTCGCTGACACCAGTGCCAAGGACGAGACCATGGTCGAGACTGAGACAGAGAGGGTTGAGTTGAAGGACTTGAGAGAGCTGATCAAGCGTGACTTTTTGCGTTGGGTGACTCCAGCTTCTGCTTCCGCTTCCCAATCACAGGATAAGGGTTCGATTTCAGCTTCGAAGGAGCCAGTTCAACCTTCCAAAGAAGCTTCCGCTTCCCAATCACAGGATAAGGGCAAGAAGAAGGATGACGCCACCTCCAAGGTCCCGGAAAACCCCATACCAAAGCCATATCGTCATGTAGGCGATGCCTTTGCGGCCGTGCAGGCTGAGTTGAAGGGCAGCAAAGAGAATCAGCTTGGAACAGAAGAGTTGAGAATAGCCTGCAGTTCTCCACCAAAGGAAGAAGCAGGTGAAGGGTCAAGTGCCCTTGCTGGGCCTTCTCGGACTCAGAGTGAGAGGCCTGTTTTCGAAGATCAGGATGTATGGTGCGTGATTGACAGGCTGAGGTCGCTTGCGCAAGTAGATGGTATTGGGGAAGCCTTGAGGTTTGAAAGGGGCTTGCAAAAATGGGAGAAGGGTGACCCTGATTTGGTGATAACCGTTGCTACGGTCCTCGCTGCTTCACGGATGGAGCCGGGCTTCACTGTCTCTCCTGAGCTGATGGTTGCTGCGAGAAAAAGGGAGTTGGCTGCTGCGAGGAAGATTGCTGCTGCCGGTGGTGCTGCCGATGAGGATGTCGTCGGCGACGCTGGTGATGATCATGTTGGTGCAGAAGGTGTCGGTCCTGACTCTGTTGGTGGCCCCCCTGTTGCTGATACTGATACATCTCCTGGTGGTCGGGTCAATCCTGCTTCTTCAACTGCTGGGTCTTCTGGCAATCCCGCTAATTCTGAGAACATTGCAAGCCTCAGAGGTGGTGGCCTGGATGAACCTGATTTTTGGAACGCGCTGGAGGAGGATTCATAGGAGGATCAGGCCGTTACCCTGGAGCAGGACGAAGCAACAGGAACACTCCGCCGCGCAAAAGAAGTCCAGGATTATTGGGAAAACATCCGCCGGCAGTTGGAGATTGATGACGATGAGATATATGGCGCCGAGTCTGACTACGGCGATGAAGCCAGAGTCCGGAGAGAGGCTAGAGAAGCTGAGGATGATGAGTACCTCGACAGTTTGAGGAGGAATGGCTCTACTGCCTGCACCAAGGATACCTCACCTGTCAAAGACATTCGCAAAGATGCCATCGGCAAGAAATTCGATCGCCGGTTCATCAACAAGCCCGTCGTTCCCGTGCCGGTGCCTATGACCTCGACGAGCGCCCCCTTTGGTCCAGCTCAAACTGTTCAGGCCACGGCACAATCCACGGTCCCCCAGAATGGCTCTTCCTCGGCAGCGTATGGTTGTGTGATGTGATGTGTGGTAGTGCGGTTGGGAAGATGTTGAACGAAAGATGGAAAGGAAAAGAATGTGGAGGGAGGAGTCAAATTCATTCGTTTGTTCAGACTTTGTTTGTTAGCTTATAGCGGAATTGCTTATCTGACATAGCAGCGTTGTTGGTATATAGCATTATGAAGATAATGATTCCTATCACCCGTTCAAAAATCATGTCAATAATGTCAGTCCAATACTGGTTTGTCTGTTAGCTCGAGACCTCGGGTCAACTTCCCTAGGCCTTTTTACATTTAATTCGTTTCGTTCCTTGATCAAAGCGTGATCATACCTTGAATAGGTATACTATTTCCGAAATTCTCAATGATATTTTGAATCCTGTCAATGGCTTTCTGAACCGTACGTAGCTGTTCATTTTGTTCTTGTGACGGGAGCTTTGGGACAATTCGGGATAGATTTCGTCCAATATACTAGGAGTACCAAGCTAACAGTGGATTTGATGTGTCAAGTCCATGAAGTGTTGTTGTACAAACGTGAAGACAGTAAATAGCCGGGACGAAGGCCGGATGCCTTTAACTTATGGTTGGACATTAGCCGAAGGGCGGGTGTTTGTTCATCATGAGTAAGATGCCCTGCCCTGCCTTCGTCTGATCATGAACGGTCGTGATATTTAAGCAACAACGAACAAATCCGCGAGTAGAAGTGTACGACCAGCATGCAGTCAGTCGGTCTCAGTCATCCATCACGGGCAACCATGGGACCCGAATAAGTTCTACACCTCTGAGGAGAAGGGGCTTCTATTCTAAAAGTTGGGCGGCATCAGACATTCCCGAGAGCAGGTTCCAACAGAACAGAACACACAAGTTTAGAAACAATAACAAATCTATCAAATGCCGTACCCTAAAATACCTACTACCTGCTGAAGCTATAGTCTATGTACGGCAGGTACCTCATCCATGATCCATGATCCAGTAATAATCATTCAACACATCGCTTTTTGGATATCATCATCCTCATCATTCTCCAACCAACAACCAATAAAAAAACCACTTCGATCACAATTCTTTAACGCTGACGTTCATGTTCAAATCTCTTCGCTTTTGTGTTCATGCCCATATGAACAGAGAGTCATAGTCATAACCCAATCAACCTGCAACCACCTTTTTGTCCCCATGATCATCAAGTTTCCAGTCTAATAGTAGATAGAAAGAAGGAAAACAGGCGCCCCAGTAAATTAAAGAAGAACGCCGAAATTACATGAACAAACACCCTGACATCATCCCGCGCTTTTCCAGAGTCATTAATCAGCGACCATTCCTCTAGACAGCACCGGAGCTGATCATCTTCTTGCGCAGGTAGTTCTTGTAATCCGAGATGCTGCCATCCCACTGCTTGATGGTCTTGTTCTCGCACACGAGAATCTGCTTGGCAATCTTGTCCAAAAGTCTGTTTTTCATCATGTTAGCAACTGAGTTAATGGAAAAACAAAGTGGGAACAAAACTAACCTGAAATCGTGAGAAACGACAATAACACCACCGGTGAAAGCGTTGATGGCATCGGCAAGCGAGTCAATGGTGGGAATATCGAGACCGTTGGTAGGCTCGTCGAGCAAGAGCATGTTGGGGGACTCGATGGCGAGGAGGGCGAAGACGATACGGGACTTTTGGCCGTCGGAAAGGGTACCGATGAGCGAGGTCTGGGCCTCACCAGAGAGACCGTACTTGCCAAGCTGCTGGCGCCAGTACTGGTAGTCCTGGGACTTGTCGGGGTACTTGTCACGGACGAAGTCGAGAGCCGACTTGGTCAGGTCGAGCTGCTCAGCAGAGTGCTGAGAGTAGAGACCGAGCTTCAAGTGGGTGTGGCGCTGGACGACACCGTCGGTGGGCGAAAGCTTGCCGGTCATGAGACGGAGCAGGGTGGACTTGCCAACACCGTTGGGGCCGACGAGCGCGGTACGGGAGTCCATGTCGAAACCGAGATCGATGTGGCGGTACAGGTCGTCCTTGGGGTCGCCAGAGTACGAGAAGGTGACGTTGTCGAAGGACAGGACGGGAGGAGGGAGCTTCTCGACATCGGCGAAGCGGAAGGAGAAGACTCTGTCTTCCTTGACAGGCTGGATGAAGCCGTCGGCCTCCATCTTGTCGAGAATCTTCTGGCGAGACTTGGCCTGACGGACCAAGTTAGCGTAGGTACCAGCGCTAGCAATGAACTTCTTGATGTGGGCAATTTCGTCCTGCTGCTTCTGGTAGGCCTTCATCTGGTTGGTCTCCTGCTCGGCGCGGGTCTTGTGGTAAGTGTCGTAGTTACCACCATAGTAGATGAGGGTCTGGAGGCGCATGTCGATCATGCTTGTGCAGACACCGTTGAGGAAATCCTCAGAGTGAGAAACCAAGACGAGGGTACGGTCCCACTTCTTGAGGTATTCTTCCAGCCACACGCAGGCCTCGAGATCCAAATGGGCGGTAGGGTCGTCGAGAAGGAGGAGAGTGGGCTTGACGAAGAGGGCCTTGGCGAGGGCGACACGCATACGCCAACCACCGGACATGTCCTTGGTCTTCTTCTGGATGGTCTGCTTGTTGAAACCGAGACCGGTCAAAATGAGGGAAGCGCGGGTCTCGAAGGTGGAAGGATCCATCTTGTCAATGTGCTGTTACGGCAGAGTTAGTATTGTGAATGCGCCCTGTAATCATGGGACGGGATACATACATCGTAGAGGTCCTCGAGGAGGGGCGAGTCGGGGCCATCGTCCTCAAGAATCTTCTCGGCGACGCTCTCAAGGCGGGCCAGCTCGTTCTTGGCCTCGGTGACGACCCAGTCAAGGGCGCCGAGCTCGCTGGGAGGAGCACCCTCGTTGAGAAGGTAGATGTCGACGTGCTCGGGAATGGGGTACTCGCGGGCGGCGATGGCCTTGAGGAGCGTGGACTTGCCGCAACCGTTCTCACCCAGAAGACCGTACCTGCGGCCGAGGGTAAGCTCGAGGGTGGCATCCTTGATCAGGACGCGGCCGTGGAAGACGAGGGAGACGGAGGTGATCTTGACGTCCTTGGAGGCCTTGGTGGAGGCCAGGACACCGGTGGTGACACGATCCGAGAGACCGTGCTTGTCCATCTGCTGGGCAAGGCGCTTGACCTCGTCCATCTGCTCCGTCTTGGTAGCGGGCTCATCCTCGACGACGGGCTTGCCGAAAGCATCGAGCTCGACTTCCTTGACGGCCTTGCCCTTGTTGGCTTTGGCGGCCTTCTCGGCGAGGCGCTTCTGCTTGGAGGCGGAGGGCGGCATCTTGAGTGATGATTCTGTGGGTGGTTGGTTGGAGGTGTGGTAGAGGTGTTGGTGACGATGCACAAACACAAAGGGATACCTAAAAAAAAAAAAGAAGGTGTCGAAAGAATCTAGTTCTCTCTAAACAGAATCACCAAACAAATAGTGATGGGGAGGGAGTGGTGGGCGGATTGAAGAAAGAATCCGATTGAAAACACACACACTCTGGACAGACAAAAAACCGACCGTCGAGCACAAGGGGAAGTGGAAAAGAAGAAGAGTGCAAGACCTGAGACGGGAGGGGAGTCCAAGTCAAACGTTGGGTCGGTCGAAGGCAAAGAATGGGGTCCAGTACAGCGCTCTTGGCTTGCGATTTCCAGGGCAGAAAGGTGGGGGCGATCGCACTGTCACTGCCAAAACTTCAAAGCGGGCGGGCGACAGGACTCGAGCCTCCCTCCTTCACTGCCTCTGCCAGGCGGGCAAATGGTGGGGCTTTGAATTTTCACAAATTCTCTGATAACGATTTGCTGATACAGTACCACCGATAGCCAGCTGATAGCAGCCTTGGCAATTGGCGGTCAGGCCACAAGGCAGCAACGGCTGGCTTATCATCTGCTTATCGGTTGTCAGCGCTGCAGCGACCAACTGCATTCGATAACTTTTGGAATCTGTTTTTTGTTTGAGTGAAGAAAAGAACAATGACAAGAACGATTCACTTTGCCGCATTACTACTCCATTCACTCTCACCGTCTCCTTTATTCCACCCAATGCCACATTCATCTTGTTCATGCATACAATCAATCAAACACTTTTCCATCGGCGACCTGCACTTGTCGAGTCGCTACACGTGTTGGGCAGACGCAGTAGGGGCTCGTTCTCGGTTGACGTCACACTCCATCACCCACCGCTGCATTGGCCGAGTGGCCATTGCTTGCATCGCTTACCTCATCAAACCCCTGGGCTGACCGTTGACTTTTGGGTTCGTCGGCTCAGCAAGTACTTTCCACTTGGGTTCATCAAGCACAATCATCATGAAAAAGACTGAAAGAATTCAGCCATGATCATTCGAGTTCAGTGCGTTTTGTCACCGGCACTTTTGCGAATCACTCTTTGTCGATGAGACGCCGCCGTGGTTTTTGTGGTCAGGTATACAGTTCAATGCTGGTTTGATTGTTAGCGCGGTTCTTGAGACAGGGGTCTGCAAAAATACACAGAAAAACAACAGGATAACCACATTCGAAACAGAAAATTGGATAGAGTGTATGAAGTACCCAAAACGCATCTGGTTGATACCAGTTTCCTGCATGAAATTTGGTGGAATGGTGGTTGAGTTGCAAAGAGTGCGTAGTAAAGTCCCGCGCTAACAATCAAACCAGGGGTGAACTGTATGTTGACCTTCTGCAGGGTTAGGGTTGTTACAGGAAGTGAACGCTTATTCCAAGATGCAGAATTGGAGCTCAACTCCTCAAGAGCGGGATGCAACACTGGCACTTCTTTGCGAAATCTTCTAAACACATGAACGTCTTACCTCGTAAGCTCACCAAAAGAAATAAACACCTCGATAATTCAGCTAGACACCTGCCATTCATATTTTCTTCGGTGATATATCGAGACTTATAATGTACACACAGTTCCGGTCGGAAAGAGACCCACAATTCCCGCCCGGCTCCAAGTCCGGCGCGGCACCGCCCGTCCGGCCCCGCTTCCGTCCGGAATCCAACTCTCGAGCCAATCGACCCGACCTTGAACCAAGCTCTCCCTCTCCCATGTGTCGAATCCCTCGCTGTGGCCGCTGAATTTGAACCAGTCATTGTGTTAAAAAGCCGAGAAAGCTTACATTGACGACATGGACCGTTTAAGCCACTGAGCATCTTCCACATGCTGGACACTGGAGAAAGTGCCGTGGCATATGCCTCCTGAACATCAGCACTACAAGTACTCGTCAGGTCTACAAAACCGACCGTTTACTAGTCGGGAACTGACCACTGCCACTAGTCTGACGGCGAATTTGTAGCCCTGACGAGTAGACTTGTTCAGGTTTCGTGGTTGATGGGTGAGACTGACTGCCGGGTGATCGTCTTACTCTCGGATTCCCGCAAAATGATGCCGAAACAAGGAACGATGCTCTGTCTGTGCCTGGAGAGTTGAAAGACTGGATGTCATGCCTGATGGTCTTTTGCATGCGGATAGGCGTGTGGAAAGTCAAGCTCTCAGTCCGGGTCTTCGGCTCGATATAACTATCGTGGGAAGCTGTGAGTGTGTAATTCATTCCGAGAAATTTCAAAAAGCTGGCCTGGGAGGAAAACCTAGCAGTATATTTCATTCAAAACGTGCAATTTTAAAACAGAGGAAGGTTATGGCTTTCAACTCCGTGAGTGTCCTGGTGTACCTCGTTGAACGGTTCGAGGAGTTCGTTGCTTGTGTTAACGGATACGTATAGACGATACCGCCATTCGAATTGTTGGTCTCATTTCTTAAGCGTGAATGAAATATTGCTTCCTACAAGTGTCATGGAAATTGAGTTTGATAAAACGGCATTCATCCCGGTCAGGATTGCTCAAGCAAGGACTTTTTGCCTCGATGACTTCTTTCATTCTGGTTCTAGTTATGAAAAGCTGATCTGAGTACTCTTGTGTCAGGATACTTTCCATTCCATTCTGGGTTTCATCTTCTTGCTGTAAACCGTGATGCTGAGGGCCCTTCATCATTCTCTTCCATCGGCGTGGCTTGCATGTTTTGTTGTCTTGTCTTGTCTTGACTTGTCTTGTCCTCGGGTTGCCCTGCGCTGCAATGTGCAGATATCTAGAACCTGCCTTACGTGCCTTGCGCGTGCACTGCGTGCCTTGATTTGCACAACTTCAAGTCTGCTGTGATACTGGGCTGTTCCGTCGTGTTGGCGCCTCTCCGACTTGGAACTGTCAACCTCAAGACTCGGATCGATATGAAGTTGATGGTGTTGTCTACCTTCACCCAAATTGGTCAAGCCAAACCAGTCACAGTCTCTTCTACCTTACGTGCAATCGTCACAAATCCCGCGTGGTCTTTGTAGCAGCGAACTGAAACCTCTCGGGTCGACAGCATGGAACTTGATGAACCAATTTCAAGTTCTGTGATCTGGAACCTCAGTCCCGTCCTCGTGCTTGATCATTGCACCGAAGTGTTTCGGTTTGGGTCTGCACCGCTGCAGCGGCCGGCAATTCCCGGCAGGCAATATTTCCTTGCCTCTTGATTGGCTATTTCTGCATGGTACGTACAATTGCGCACGTACCAACACACTGCCAGCGCTGGCCAGCGCAAAAGAAGGCGGCCATTCTGATTTTCTGATTTCTGATTTCTGGCAGGGCGGGGGGCGAATGCGAGCCAGCCAACAAACGACAGGGTAGACGGTAGGCGGTCTGCACGACATTCGCGAAGTCACAACTGAAGTCTTTCGTTTCAGCGCAGAGGGAAGACTACAATTACGATCGCCACAAAGAAACAAAAGAACAAAAGGAATTGTCCAAACTTCATCGGAGAAGCAGGTGAATGTAGAAATTGTTAGTGCGAGGTTCAAAATCTCCAGTGGTCCTGATATCTGGAGTTTGAAGAACCTGGGGGCGGCCCCTTCGAAGTTCTTTTCTCCAGCTCACCGGCCGTGACAGGGACGGTACGTACCACCCGCCCAACCAACCGCCTGCCCCAGCCGGCCGTGTTCCGCCGCTCGCGCGTCCACCGACCGACCGTTCTTCGATCACGCCAAGGCTGGGGATTTCGAAGAAGGATGATAGAAAATTCTCTGACATTGAACTTCATTTACTGGATGCAAAAGATACACGATGTTCTAATGGCGATGGTTGTAGTGATGCACACACGAAGGTGTTGGGGTGATTTGGGATTGTTAGCTGTGCAATTGATGGCTGCCAAACGTAAATGTTTGGCATGTTGGTTGGGCGCCGGTCGTTGTTCTTCATGGCACTTTTGCAAATTTCACACAATGGAGGGTTCAGATGAGAAATCGTGCCTTGGCTTGGCGTTGTTGGCCTGACCCTACGACTGACCGGACACGACCCGAGCGTCCGGCAGCGTGGATTCTCGCCCGAGGTGAGGGTGAATATAAAGATATATCACAGATAGTAGCCTTGCCACGTGAAAGAGAATGAACTGCTCTCACGATACGGTATGTATTTACTCTTTCGTGGTGATCTTTCATCTCGTGATGGTTCGATTCAAGCCTCGGGCGGCAGAGAACAGGCGGACAGGCTAAGAACAGACGCGGGCCTGACAGGGCCCAAGTGGGTGGGTCTAGCGCGGAGGGCTGACGTCTTTTGCGGGAGCGCAGAGTTGCAGGGCACAGGGCACAGGGCAGGTGCGTGCAGCGGGTCGTGCAAGTCCCATGTATCTGACCAATTAGAGGTCTGAAACCGGATCTGCTGCAACGGGGCCCGGGAATGGGATGCATCCAATGTGGTGGACTGAGACCCACTGGGCCTCTCTCCAGTGATGGATCGCTCACCCTTTGCGAGAGGTGAGAGAGAAGGGAAACTGGAAGTCTGGAAGAGACTTGTGGTGACTGGGAGGAGCGAGAGTGTGAGGAAGAGTGCATTTTCACACGCGCGCACAACGCAGACCCAAAAAACAAGTAGATGTGGCCAACAGCCGAAATAGAACGGACCAGCCGGGCAACCATCGTCGTCAACAACTGATGGGGTTTGGAGCATCTTCGCATTGTCATCCACCATCACCAAGTACCTCCTCTTGCCATTCCGCGCTATCACCACACCTTCCAACACCATCGCCGTTGTCCGAGTCTCCATCGGCCATTCCTCCCCTTCCGTGCTGTGTCATCTCAACCACCTTGCAATTTGGCTTCGATCCAGACTCCCCCGTCATCCGACGATCCCACATCACCACCAATAACACAACCACCACCACCACAGACGTTACTTGCTGCCCATCAAGACCGTCAACATCTAGTAGTGTCTTCGCTGTCATTGCGACTTTTGGACGATCGCCTCCAGTCTTTCCCGTGACGACTACAGTTACTGCCTAGCGACAACTGCATCGCGACAGCTTGTTTCCCACAAGCTTCGAATAGCTTCTGCCCCTCCAGCTTGTCATCTCGAACCCAGCAGAGGTCGCCGCCATTCCATCCGACAAGTCGCGACAATCGATCGCTTATAGCAGCCAAACCACCACCACCATCCGACCGATCAGCCGCAACGGCAGAACCGATCAAAGTCACCGCGCAGTCAGTCATTGAATCCGATCCCGAGTCGACCGAATTCTAGACCGTCCGACAAAGTGCAGCGAAGTCGGCAAGCATCAAACATAGCTCTACAGATCCACTAGAGCATAACAGACACGCCGGCAATCGTCTCGTCCGATGGGATACCGATAATACGTAGAGATTTACAAGCAAGCTAGAGAAAAGAGAGACAGAAAGAAGAACAAGTCCTTGTTGTTTGGTACTATACGTTTGGACTGGAATATGAGGGGGACCGGTACACGGTAGACAACCACCAGACATCAGCCAGCATGGACCACTTCTCGACGGTGCTGCAGCGACCTCCTCATTTTGACGAGGATGGAACAGAAGGGGGAGGGGATGGAGGAAACGGCGCCGGTCCAGCACCACCACCACGCCGAGGTCTGCGCGACATTCTCAACCCAGTGAGCAGCAACAGCGCCGTACAATCCCAAGTACAAGCAGCGTCATCATCGCTCCATGGAATTGGAGGACCAGTGCCGCCGCCGCCCTCGACGAATTCCATGCGCGCGACGCACGGCTCGTCCTCGTTCAATTTGCGATCGCCAACGCAGCAACCATCGGAATACCGTCATCCACTTTCCTCCCTGGCCACTCCAGCACACGCTGCCAACAACGCGCTAGGTGCCGCCGGCAGTCTGAGTAGTCAACCGCCATCCACGGGTCCGCGCTCAATTCTCAACCCTCCAACAACAAGCCAACAACAACACCACCATCCAAATCCCTTTGTCGCAGCATCCGCACCCTCGCTGCCGCCGCCGCCGCCGTCCTCGTTGCAAGCTCCACCTGCCATTACAACAATCGCCGGCTTATCAGCTCCGGCCCCAGCATCGAGTTCGCTACCTCTATCAGCAGGAGCCATCGGAAACTCCATCACGGTCTCGTCGAGCTCGCGACCGCCAGCCCGAGCATCGCAACTGCACGCGCCGTCGGCCTACTATTCGCCGGCAGAATCGTTTCGCGATCGGGATTCGTCATTACGCGAAAA